AGAGAGAGAGAGAGAGAGAGAGAGAGAGAGAGAAGAGTTAAAGAAACATTTATATTCATACTTGTGTTAGCAGTTGGTCTGCATTAGCTATCCTGTTATCAAGATTGGGACATTTTTGTAAAACGTAAAACCTCTACAAAAGAAAAAAGGAGAGACGAATATTAAAACCAAATGTAATCTATTTATAAAAAAATTTCATAATTCTTCTAAAACTACATGTACATGTACGTAGCTACATGCATTCTATTTATAAGGATTATACAATATTACTTCATGTATTGTCTGTATAAATGAAGAGAGAGTCTTGACCTGAATCTAAGCTCAAGTTCTTGCAAACTATACTAAAAATAAAAAAAGAGAAAAAAGAATATTAATCTCTTGCCTTCAAATATTCTTCCATGCTTCCGCCAAGACTCTTAATGAATACTCACACACAGACTCTAGGGGGCGGGGCTTAAAAGTACACACACATACATGTACATGTAATGCCGACATTTTACGAAAGTCACATGACAAGTAAGGATAATCCACGTATATTTTATATATAATAGAAAAATCTATAAATAATTATTTACAAAATATACAAAAGTTGTTAATCATTGTCCAATTGGAGATCAGCGCAAAAATTAATTTATTATCGTTCAAATTAAATTTTTCCCTAAATCGCAAAGCCGTATTTGTCGGCGAATATTAAGGTCTGCAAGCCAATAGTATCCCAATAATATCCTATTAATATCCCAATAGTAGTAACCTTGAGAGTGATGTTGACCAGTGATATAAAGGGCATGGCATAGAGGAAGCTGAGGACGTACTTCTTGAAGGCTTCAAAATTACGACCAATTATAGAGCTGGAGAGAGAGAGAGAGAGAGAGAGAGAGAGAGAGAGAGAGAGAGAAAAGAAAAATAAAGAAGAGAAAATGCAAATATGTACATGTATGCATGTACATATTCTTATATTAAAAATTACATATATGTAATTTTTGCTTTTAATTTTCTAATGGATTTTATATAAGAGAAAATTTTTTGTTGATAACATTAAAAAAATTTGCTAAATGCAATTAATGTATGCATAGTATAAGCAAGTAAACTACATGTACATGCATATAATAGAAGCTTTATTATTATTATTAATTGAGGTACAGTTGGAATTAAAAGCAAATCTCAGACCCATACCATGCAGACTCATACCCATACCATGCAGATTGAGACCCATACCTACCCTTCAACAGAAGTTCCATTCTGAATCATCCAGACGTCAGCGTAAGTCCTAAGTACTAACATGATAGCAACCATAATGAGGTACCCAGTCTCAGGACATAAAACCCTTGGAACTAGGATCCTGAACAACCTAACGATTCGTCTAAAAAGAATTTTAAAATAATTTTTTTAATAATTAAAATAATTTTTGTTTACTTGATAAACTCCCAGTCAACAGCTGCTCTGTCTCCTTTCCTTTTATCGCCAACTTTATCCTAATAAGGAGAGAGAATAAATGTATTAATTAATATTGTACATGTACATGTACATGTATACGGACGTACCTGTGTTGCTGCAATGTATGCTTCTTCATCTTTCCTTTAAAATAAATTTTAAAAAACAAACATAAAAGTTTAATCTGTCAACCAATTTAATCCGTCTACAAAGCCAATCTTAATCATTTTAAAAATTAAAATAATAAAAATTAAAAGGTCAAAATAATAGAGACCACGTGACTACAAGCCACGCCCCAGACCCTCTCTCACCTCCTCGAGGCTATTTTCCTCCTAACAGATACATAGAGGCCTAGCCCAGCAATGGTAGTGGCTAGTGCAACCACAGCCCGCGGGTTACTGGCTAGCTTTGAAGCAACTGCAGGCATTCCTTTCCTTTCTGTTTGCCTCCTTC